GTTTGGTCGACTGCTCAAGTTGCTCTGGCGTCGCGACGATGGCCTACCGACTTGCTCTGGGCTTTCTGTGAGTCCAGCTGTTATGGCCGCGGCATCGAGAGAGTGTCTCGGCGTCGAGATGCTTGAGGTGCTTCGGAGGCTCTTCTTCCGACGTGGAGGGAAGTACCCAATCGTTTTGCTCGACACGCGGGCGATCTCAACTGGTTTTGGAACAGAGTCCAGTGCAACCCATCGAACGTGAGACCAAGGAGGCTCTTCTTGGTCATCGTTGTTGGAGAGTCGAGACGACGACCCGTTTTGAGTAGGCAGACTGAAGAAGTCGACTTGTTGTGGTTGTGCCGAGGTCTGCTTACCCCAGCCATGAGCGCTTCGAGGTTCTGGTGTTGGGGCTAGCAAGTCGACATTCTGCCCCTCGTGCGAGGGTGGCTCGCAAGGGCGACCCTTGACTTCGCATGCATCTACTGGTATGGCAAGCCACTTGCGCACCAGTATGTCTCTAGACCACAGGCCGTTTGCCTTTCTGAATGCGTCTTCGCGGCACCTGTACTTGAGCACTATGCCGGCATAGGTGTCAGTTGGTTGCACATGGTGTATATACACCAATTGATCTTGGACCTCTTCTTCCTGTGGTGCGTCCCTGGGGATTTCGTCCGAGTTTCTCTTCTTGTACTTGCCCGACACATCGAGGCCACCATTAACTCCGTCGTGACTTTCCAAAACGCTCGCTGTCCGGGCTGCCTTGAGGGCAGCATCTCTTTCTGCGAGAGAGCCTGCCGCAATGTCTCTCTGCGCAGGCCTACTATTGGGGGGCGGCGCTGGGCCCCAGTCTTTGGGAGCCTTTCGTGGCGGGGTAGAATAGTCTCTTTTCAAAGGATTGATGTTCGTCCGTCTCCTTTCCCTGTGATCTGACTCGTAGCCCGCATCGTGGACACTTCCACCAGACAAGATGGAAGAAGCAAGCCCTTGGATAGAAGCCCAGCCTTGCGACCATGTGGTGTCGAGGAAACTGGCCGAGTTTGGTGCGGTGTTGTTTCGACGGGCGGCGGAGGATGCACTTCGAGCACCGGACTTGGAGGCATCGCGGGATAAGTGGCTGGATGGCATGGGACTTGGCTCACGGCTTGGTGAACGCAAGGCAGAAAAGGAAGCCGACAGCTTATCCAAGGGCCCTCCGCCAGTAGAGGAGTCCTCTGCAGTGCTGATGAGACGCCGGTTGCGTGGGCGGGCTTCGGCATCATGACGTGCTGGCATGAGGGCCGAAGAAGACATGTGTGATGTCGACCCGGCCGGGTTTAGGGAATCTGCCATGATGGAGCAAGGCCGCCCACCTCGTCGCTTGGGTGGTAGGCAGTTGAAAGGGAGGGCATCAGCGCGTGGCTTCGATCATCGACAGTATTCGGTCGCTTGGAAGACGGTAATATGCGATCTGGGTCGGCAGCGCCGTGGGCGACTTCGGAGTAGGAAGCACAGAAGGTTGAAAGCGGTAGGTCGAAAGAGCGGGCGATAAAGTATGTGTTTCGGTCAAGGCGGATTAAGTTCACAGGGGACGTCAGAGTGTCGCTCTCGCGTGTATCTCGAAGGGAAGAACAGCTGAGGCCAAGGGAGGAGCAGGTGTAGTATTCGTTGGTTGGTTGAGGAATGAATGGATGGAAGTGATGTATGATGGCCGAATGGATGGACAATTGGAACCGTGGTCGTGTACCTTTTCTTTAGCGTATCCAGTAGGTAGCAGCCAGCATGGGAAGCAAGCAGTGACAAGCAGCAGCGGACGGGAAGCGGTGGTAGGATGGCGACCGTGGGTGGTGGCAGCAGGAGCGAACCGCATGTGCGTGTGCGATACTGTGGACGGGTAGGGAGTATGGGCACCTCTCCACTGGGCTAAGTGTCCTTCTACGTATGTATTGAAGTGCTGAGGCGGCGGGCTGCACTGTGGCCCGTCGAGAGATGTGGGCCGGGGTTTGTCAAGGGACTTGAAAGGACGGGACCCTTGGCCAGCCGCCAAAGACGACGCAATCACGCACTCAGAACTCTCTGGAAGGCAAGGTACCTTACCTCCGAACCTCGTGGCTCAAGGTACTTACAAGTAGGTAATGTAGGTAAGGTACCTTAGGTGCCGAGGACTGCTTGTGGCTCCTTGTCCTATCCGTACTGAAATGATTAGCGGTCCTTCCAGTGGAGACGAACAGGTGGCATTCCTGCAATCCCCTCCCCCCAATTCGCTTGAGGCCTGGGCTGTTTGAGAAGTCCCAAGTTAGCGGCTTACGGACATGAGTTCCCAGCGGTGGTGGGGGCGGATAATGGGGAAAGGGACATGACTGCCAGTCTTAATTACTGGAGAGACCTGGGAGAGTCATGTTCGTGGCTCGGCCACCCACCACCTGTGGTAATCAATTCGTCCCCTTGGAGTCTTGAAGTCCTGCTCCTCCGCTGGCTGAGGACATGAACCGTGCAGGGTACTTCCACTCCTCCGACTCGACGTTCCGCCCGGCTCCCAGCGGCCCCACTCAAACACTTTGTGCGAGCTCACGGTCGCGACAGGTACCTCTTTTTTCCCCCATATTGCAGAACTCCGAAGTACGAAGCTCGATTGGGATCCCGATTCTGGCGCAGCGCAGAGAGCTCCGGTGTAGACTGCCACGACCATGCTCGCTACGCGTTGCAATCGCATTATCGTTAGTCGCGTACCATCAAGCAAGTTTCAGTAGCGGGCAGCAAACGATACAGCGTTTACCCATGCCGAACGATCGAACTCTTTGCGACGTCTTTCGACCCTGACCACCCCCCATCTTGCGATGCCGATTTGTATCGAGTGCCGCCATCCGGTCAAGACCCTATGGACCAAATACTCCAACGCTGACGACAAGTCGAGCGGTCACAACATCCGCCTGACCGTTTGCAGAAATTGCGGCCACTTTTGCGACAAATACGTCGAGCACGACTTCGTGGTGCTGTTCATCGATCTCGTCCTGATTAAACCCCAGGTCTATCGTCATCTATTGCACAATACCTTGATGAAGGATGACGACCGTTTTGATGTAAGTCGTGGGGGAATTTGTGCTAGTACTATCTGCAAGACCCTCGCTGACGTTAATTCCTACGCAGTCATCCATCGTACGACTCGGCATCCTTTTGCTTCTATTCGACGTCTACTTGACATGGGCGCGCATTGAGAAGCAGACGGTGCCCATCTCTGCTCGGGGCGAGGGCGCCAACCTGGGCAGCTTGGCACAGCAGTCTATCGTGTCCCAATATTTCTTCTTCCGTATGTATCGTGAAGCATGCTGAGGGCTGACTCAGATGGAAGAAACTAATGTTCCGGCAGTCATCCTGTGCGCTTTGTCGACATTTGCCTTTCATATGAGCATTCGCTTCCTGACTTCGTCCAAGTTCTCCCCGCTCAACTTTTTCAACATCTTGCCCCGATATTCGCGTCCGAATTCCGTCTCGACCGCACTCCTCGTCTCGTCTTCGACCAAGCTATTTCCGATACTCATGGTCATATGGCAGTACGATGTCCCAGCTGCGGCTCGGTCGCTGGGCTGGGCCGTCGTAGCAAACAACGTCGAGGCCCTTCGTATTCTGCTGGATTGCGGCTACGGCGTTGCCACTTTGCTTGCCACGCTGGGAGCTCTAGCCCGGTGGACAGTGGGACGTAGTGTTCTCTGGGCTGCCGGGCTAGACGGAGTGGATTCCATCGGAGAGACGAGCATTGCTGCAGATGGCAAAGCCCTCTGGGCTCTGTTGATGTACGTGAGGGAGTGGGCAAGCGATCTAGCCGCAGGGTAACAGGCAGTATATAGCTGTAGAAGCCAGGCAAAGGAAATGCATGTGTAATATGTACCAGCCGGCATTGCGTGAATTGATGTTGCATAACTAGCCGTCTTGCCATTTCAGGTGCCTACCCAGTCCATCCATGATCCCCATCGCCACCGGACTAGTATCATCTGTCGGCATCTTGAGCTACAGATGCGAGGCGGCACTCTTCAACAGCCAGTCACGCGCCGTTCGTTCTATATGACAGAACCCTAACAAGCCCCTTAACGCCGTCCTTATGAAGTTGCAGTTGTGTAAAATCGATAATAGTACATCGCACCCATGGCGTTGCATCTCGCTCTCTTTCGCCCTTCCACCGTCACCTCGAATAACAGGTCGTCAATGGTGCACGGCGCTCTCTCGGAGGTTGCTGCGTTTGGGTTCGATCAAGGGGTGAAGTTGGGCGAGGAACGTGATGGCCCACATGAGATAGCAGCATGCGAGGGCAAGGAGGAGGGAGGATCTCCAGATGCTGTAGATGATGGTCAGCTGTGTCTCTGTCGCAGTGACGCATGGAATAGTAGTTCTCCGATTGCGGCATTTTGCTTCGAGTAGAGGGATAACATACATCTGCGTGTCGCCCTTGGGAGACAAGAACCATGCGCCAGCGCCCATCGCGACGACGATGACGAGGCCGACGAAGATGCTGTACCTATTGTTCTCTCACGTCAACACACATCGATCGCCAGAGTACGCTCGTCTATGGGAGAGGGAACACACCCTTGCGCCATTTTTGCTGCTTGATTCGGAAGAGGGTATGATTTTGGTGGATGTGCAGGTATGTCGGGTTTCGCGTTGATGTCGTCGTGCTGCTTCGTCGATTGCTTCTGTCGTCGTTGGGAAGGCTGAGCTAGGTAGGAGGGACGTCAGTTGTGGGTGCAGCTGTCGGCGCAGTGCACCAGCCGGCAGCTCGACCGTTGCTGGTGCTTAGTCATTCCCGTCTCTCCACCTGGTCTTCCAGCCTGCAAGAACCAATGCAAGTATTTTGTTAGTCAATTTTCATGTCACTAGTACTATATCTATATCCTATAACTCGAGTTTTGAGTAATATACGTCTTTCACTTCACGTCATGCAACTAAATCAGACTCAATATTCTCGTATCATTTTTTTCATTTTACATGATGTTGTGCATTAGTCTTTGATCTGATGCCCTTTGAGCCATGTCTCTAGCATCTAGGGCCCTTGCTCAAGAGTCGTTCTCGTACTTGAGGCCAGCTTCCTTTCTTACGGCGCCGTAGATGCCGGCCATATCACCTGATGGTCCTACGTGCTCCTTGACAATCTGTAGGTGCCTATCGGCGTTTTCAATATTTGGCAGCCGTGTCCCTGCGGCTTTGGCAATGGCCATGGCGTGCCCGGCGTCTTTCCTTGCCAAATCAACGGCGAAGAGCGGTTCCTCCCTCTTGTAATAGTCACCCTCCAACATGCGCACCGAGTACGCAGGGTAAGGGCTGCCACCGAACATGGCGTCGACAAACTGCTTCACGTAGCCGGTCCCGAGCCCGCTCTTCTCGGCAGCCACGTAGGTCTCAGCGAGCTGCTCGACCATGCCCAGGATGACGGTGTTACCCAGCACCTTCAACGTCGACGCCTTGTGGTACGGCTCGTCAGCCATGTTGATCTCGCGAGCCGCCATGGCATCGATATAGGGCCGGATCTTCTCGATCGAGGCCTTGGGCCCGGCAAGCACCAAGGTAGCGTTGCCAGCTGCTACCATGGCGGGTGCTCCGAACACGGGCGCGCAGATGAACTCGGCGCCCTTGTCCAGCACCGCCTTCGCGGCCGCTTCTGAGGCGCCGGGAGCTATGGTTGAGCACTCGACAAAAACTTTGCCCTCAAGTTTCTGCTGGGATGCGGTTGCGAATATTTCCTCCACTGCCTGGTCGTTGGCGACACATGTGAAGATGATGTCGGCCTGCGCGATGGCGTCCCCAAGCGCCTCGACGACCTGAGTCTTACCGGCGGGCAGGCTCTGGCTCAGTTCCGTGGCCCGCTTGGTGGTGCGGTTGTAGATGAGGAGTGGTTTGTCAAGTTTGGACTTTTCCGCAATGTTTTTACACATACCCTGAGCTGGTGAGCTCGCATATCACAACCGGAACGGGGTTTGCGACCCAAAACTCCGGGGACGACTCACCCTGCCGATGTTGCCGAGGCCGATCCAAAGAAGTGTCTGAGCCATTGTGAAGTGTGGTGGTTTGAAGATGACTGTGGTTGACAAGGATGGCTAGTAGTAGATGAGGTTGGAAAAGAATTATGCAATTGTAAAATTCAGTGGAACACAAGAAGTCAAGAGAGAAGTGTGTCAGTAATGAGAATGCAATGTAAGAGAAATTTGATGTAGTTGGTGACATGTAAGCGGCGGCATTAACATGCCGGCAAGCCCCTCAGGGTCTCGGTCAGTTGAGTTTGAAGAGCGAGGTGACGACAACGGCTTTGCCCGAGCGGGGTTGCTTCGGTTCATCATAGAGACCACAGCGGCACTTTCATCGGTAACTTGAGACAAACAATGGCCGCTAAGTAATTGGCTAGCATAGGTAGTGTATAGATAAGAGCATCTCGAGGTTAATGGAACGGCAATATGCCAGTATTAACTAAGGCCAGGTAAGGCGGGTTGTCAAGTCACTTAGTTCTATTCTACGGCGTCTTAACAGTAGTTGAGGACGAATGATCAGCCAACGGGCTTACAACTTTGCTCCACTGCATAGTACACTTTACAACTTATTCAATATCTTTTTTTCCACGCCAACGGAGCTCAGACGGCGGGAGCGCGTGCGGAGTTGAGCAAGGCAGTCCGGTCGATTAGTGTACATCTACGGCTGTTCCCGTCCTCGCAGCTGTGCCTTGGGGTGCCAAGCAGTGAGAGAGTCTCACTATACTAGAATGCCTGTACCTTTGTTAGTTGACGGCCGTTGGTGTAAGTCGTGCGAAGCTGCCGCTCATGAGGTTCTTTTTTGCCCCTCGTCACATGCGAGCCATTTTTTCAACATGTAAGCAATTGCATCGGCAGTGCGCGGTAAGAGATGAACCGCGCCAATTATTGAGGTTTTTTTGCGATTGGTGATTTGTCTTCTCTTACCTCGTCTGCTTGTCCGACAGCTCGCCTCGGTGCTCCGGTAATACTTGACGGTCGCCGATGGCGGTCCCCATGATGGAGACGTATCTGTTCTTATCGTCTTATCAGTACGCCCTTTGGTAGGTCACCTTGACTCACAAAGTGGGAATTTCTCGGTCGGGGGGACAGGGCGGGTTGCAGTTCGTGCTCTTCCGGCCTAAGCCAAGGTCCCTTTCCCTTCGTCACCGACTCTTAAACTCTGCCCGACATTGTTCCTGCAACTTCATTCAGACCGGCGCGATTCAGTGCCCAGACAGGTCCCAAGGACGATCCGGCAGTCAGTATAATGGCTGTCTGAAGGGATGGATCTGCTTTGACCCGCCCGTCTCTCACGACGCTGCTATTTCGCTGTCTCTAATCGGCTGGTGACTTGATCACAGACACCAGCTTCTTTTATTGTCTTCACTTGCTTCAATATTATATCTGCTCTTGCTTCTACCCTTCACGAAGGAACAACAGGATTGTGTTCAATCCGGACTTATTATCAAACATCAAACTGCCTCGCCTTCTATTCGCTCATCACATTGCCACTGTAGGCCAACGAAGCACATCACGGGCATGCCCTACACTTCTCGCCGTTATCGGTAAGATGCGGTCTCCAGCGTTGAAGCAAGCAAGCAACCTGGTTGCAAGGGTATGCGTTCAAACTCTTAATTCCATCACGTCTTCAAATCGTCGTGCCCAGGCCTTACAAGCTTCACATTAGGCACCGTTCGCCCTCGACTCTTACAGCCCGCCCAATTGCAGACTTTACCACCGCCCGCGGTTAGGAGGCACGCGCCAAGAAGAAGCCTTACAAAGTGCCCTTTCAGCAGTCCGCCACTCATCCAGCAATCAGGCCCGCGAGAGGCAACGAGCTGAAGACAGAGTATTATTGAACTCCCGCTCCGTTTCTTCTTTCAATCTCTGACATGAGCTGCAGGACTTTATTGTATCAGTCTTAGAGGCCTCGGCCACTCGTCGTGATGCCAAAGGCTACCTTCAAAAATATGCCCCTCAGTCCGGCGAGGATGGAGCCAAAAAGCGCAAAGTTTCCAAGTCGCAAGAGGGACCTGACCAAACTTATTCATCCGTTCGAGTCATCAATCAGGCGCCAAAATTCATCCAAGGCACTGAGTTTAAGGCCGAAACCGCCATTCCTGAAGGCGAACCCATCAATTTGGCAATTGTCAAGATACGCCTTCCTCAGGATGTTGACGACGAGATGCTGAATGCTATCGCCAAAACCCTGACCCAACTTAGGAAATTGGGACTCGTGAGCCTTATTGTCCTCGATGGAGGGCAAATATCGTCCCGAAAGCTTCTTCGGGAGCAGTCATGGAGAGTCCAGCAAGCCATTGAGACATTTGGCGAGCCAGGGAGCATTCTGCTCGATCAGTGCATTGCCGAGGCTGAGTCGCAGACAGCGCAAACGAAGGGATTCATGCCTTCGGGCGTTTATATCCAACACCCGCACCTTCTGCTGCGAGCTCTGCGAGACAATGCCATTGTTGTAGTACCTCCAGTCACCATGGCACACAACATGAAGAGTATCGACGTGGTGGACGCTGACGAAACCATCATTGCGCTGACCAAGTTTTTCTGTGGTCTTCAATTCAACGCCTCCGATAGCCCCGTTGGAGCGCCTGACTCCAGTCTCAGCCCTGGCGCCAAGGTCGCCTCAGTCGAAAAGGTCATCATCCTAGACCCAGCTGGAGGCACACCTCTGTCGGATGCACATGATGATTCGTGTCATCGATATATCAACTTGGACCAGGAATTTGAGGGCATCATGTATGGCCTCACGCACCCTACAGGATCAGAAGCTCGGCGAGGTAAATACTCCGAGAGTGTGCGCCAGCTCCACGCCCGTAACCTCGACCTTTCAAAGAAAGTGCTTGCGATGTTGCCCTCGACTTCTTCTGCCATAATCAGCACCCCGTCTGCTGCAGCAAACAAGCCGATCCGGCAGTTTACAAGCGTCACAACACGTAACCGGCAAAACCCTTTGATTCACAACCTCCTAACAGACAAGCCAGTATTTTCATCGTCACTACCGCTTGACCGCGTCCGCTCTGGGAAAAAGGGTGACATGGCGTCCGGCGAGACCCATGTGGCAACTTTGGTCAAACGCGGCATGCCACTTACAGTCTATCCTGATCCCACAATCAGTGCCTGGGTGCCACCACGACCGGGCGGCCCTCGCTTGAGGCTCACAGACACCTGTATAGACATGCCACGACTAGTCAATCTCATTAACGACTCCTTCAACCGGGAATTGGACGTTGAACACTACTTGGAGCGTGTCAACGAGAACCTGGCCGGTATCATCATTGCAGGAGAGTACGAGGGTGGAGCAATTCTGACCTGGGAGAAGCCTTTCGGGCTGGATGAGGAGACTGCATACAAGACCGCTCGACTGGTTCCGTACTTGGATAAGTTTGCGGTTCTCAAGAGCCGCCAGGGAAGTGGCGGAGTTGCAGATGTGGTTTTCAACGCCATGGTCAGAGGCTGCTTCCCAGAAGGCGTCTGCTGGCGTAGCCGACAGGACAACCCCGTCAATAAGTGGTATTTTGAGAGATCTCTGGGCACATGGAAACTCAAGGACACCAACTGGACCATGTTCTGGACAACGCCACACCTCCCACTAAGCGACCCGAAGCTATTGGATTACGAGAACGTTTGTCGTTACATTGAACCATCTTGGGCGGACACAAAGCCGCCGGACTAAGACCTCCAGGAGTGGCTCTGAAGAGGAGTTCCCTGTGGCAGTATTACCATTGGAATGGGTGGGGGTCAGATGAAGCCATATTCATAAAAAGAGAAATGAAAAATCCGAGATCAACGTTAATTTCTATGCGTGTCACACATGAATATTCTTAGCTGAGCCGTTGTGAATATCTATCCGTCGACGCCACTGGCTTACATGTGGGACTTAGTTGAAGGACGGTCATCAAGCAAGGTACCTAGCTATTCTTTGAAAGTACGGCAAAGGAAACGTGCATGTAAGCAAGGCCTAGAGTTTCCACCTGGGACCAAGAACCTACCCAGCTAGAATCTGCAGGACAAACTGCTGCTGGGTATTTCTAAGTAAGGTAAGGCAAGGGAGGGATGCATCCACCAACTACGAGGAGACAGTCACGACAGTGCCATCCAAAGAACCGAAAGGTGTTCCATAAATCACGTGCGCTAGTGTGCGCCCATTCCCTGCTGGACCGATCCACCTGGCCAGCTGCCCCTGGGTAGCTTGTGACAGCATGCTGGAGGTTGCTGTGCAGCCAATTTAACATACTGGATACCTGTCTATCTTGCTTCAGGTCGCAGGCAGGCACGAGGCAGAACTCCCGCATCTACAACCCACCTCAACCCGTTCAACAGGCACTATCGTCAGTGCCGACTTTCCCACAGCGACCGAGTTGTTTTCTTTTCCCACCTAACTTTGTCCCATCAAACCACCGCCAAGATGGATTTCAAGAATATCGGCAAAAGCTTCACGTGCGTTGTCGCATACCCTTCATGTCAGCGGTCGCGAGTGCTGTATCCAGGCTGACGAATTCCCAACAATGCAGCTCCTTTGGGTCCTCGATCACCCCTTTCGCTTCCCGTACTTTCCAGTACACCAAGGAGCAGCTTGGCCAGGCCGAGGACAAGGTACTTTGATTTCTTTGCGCTAATTTGATCAGTCATTCAATTAAGCAAGAGCTAATCGCCTCGTCCTCCATAGACCCAGCTTCCTCCCGACTACATTGATCTCGAGAAGCGCGTCGATGCCCTCAAGCAGGTCCATCAGAAGATGCTGGCTGTGACGTGAGTTCTCGACGGAGAGGCCCCATAAGCCGAAAACCGACCACTAACACCGATGACCCGAAGCTCGCAATACTCGAACGAGGCCTACGATTACCCGCCCAACATTAAGGAGACCTTCCAAGATCTCGGTCGCACCGTCAGCGAGAAGGTTACTCTTCTTTCGTCCGCTGGTTCCCCGGCCGAGGCCCAGGCAGCCCTGACCGCTCCTCCTTCGGCGAAGCCTCAGCCCAAGACCTTCAACCATGCCATTGCCCGGGCCAGTCTGTCAAGCAGCCAGGTCC